ACGAAATGGGCACCCGGGTACCCGGTTATAGAGACAAGGGTTAAATTTCTACTTCCTCATCTTATTTTGTTACAAACATCATTTACGCGTATCTATTTATTGTATATTACAGCAAACGTAATTATTGTAATAATTAAATTGGAAAGTTCTATTAATTCTAATTCTCTATTAATTCACATTCTTTGACATATTGTGCCGTTGATAAAAAAAACGACACAAGTAAAAAAATTAGCATTTTTGAGATTATGAAAAGAAAAATTTACTCTCTAAAGATTTAAACTATTTTCTTTCATAATCTCAAAAATGCTAAATTTTACATTTATTCTTCTATCTACTGAACGATATGTTTATGAATAAACATACACAAGAAACTTATTAAAACGTATATTAAAGGTATCGTAATAGAAGATTCTAGTGCCGGATGTTCTTAGCTGCACTCCTATTATCAGCTGACTCTTTGTTCTAGCTTCGGCGTTCATGGCGTAGCGCCAATTCGAATTATGAGAGCGGTTGCTAATTCACGCTGACATTATCATTCGCTTCCGTCCATCCGTCCATAGACATTAAACACCAATGTCATCCCAGTTTATCTCTCACAGACGTCATATTTTGAAGAAAATAGCGTGTAGAATTCCGTTATGATTGGAAATAAAGATACGTAGAAAATAGCACTCGTAATAAAATTACTTAGTTAACTCGCGGCTAAATTAAGAGAGACATTAAAACTCGCGATACTTTTTGCAAAACTATTCTTAGACCGGATACTATTAAGATATTTGCAAATTAACAGTATGTAAAATCATGCACAAATGCATTTAAAATTAATCTTAGAATCGAGGGTCGGTCATTTAAAAGTCATCGTGAGAGAAAAGATAAGAATTATCAATATACGAATACATTTCTATATGGTACTTTTTGTTTTTTATCAACGTTGAACGCGAGCACTGAAAAAAAGTTGCCCGGTAAAGGCGCGCGGCCAGCAACTCGATACTCCGTTTTCCCGGCCATGTTTATAGAGCTACCTGCGCTCCTATCCTCCTATTCGCTCGACCGCCTGGTCTCTATTCTGGCTGCGACGTTATATGGGTTAGGGCCAACTCTGCCAAGACCGCCCCGCACCCACGCGTGCCCGCGCCCGATTCTCTCTTTTCGCCACGCACACGACGAACGAGACCGCGCTCGAGCTCGCAAACCCGCGTTCCGCGAACGACGCGACGACCGACATCGCGAGGCTGCCCACCATTGTGTGCAGCGCGAAAACGAACTCGCACTTGATCCACTAAAATCGCGCTCGTGCAGCCTCCGAACTTAGCGAAACTTCGACGATAGTGCAGCCGGTGACATTGAGCCAGCTGCTCTTCTCGCGTCCCGAGCCAGATTCGCGACACGATCGCTCGTGTGCAGCGGAAGCGGTAGTCGCCGCATTAGTCGCGTCGCCTCGCATCATCGTAATTGCCGACGTTTCTGACAGAGCATGTCTGATGCATGCGTTAACTTCAGCTATTAATATAATCAAATCGTCGTTTATTATCAACTGCTGAAGATAACTTGCGTATATACAAAATGATTTAAGATGAATCTAACGTAATACTGGAAGACGGTAAAATTAGAGAAAAGAAAAAGATTTGAAAAATAATAAGAGAGAGAAAATCGACATTTAATCATATTGTCGAAAAACTGATGAAAATCGAAGAATCTGTATAATATAAGAAAAGATCAAGACATGTTATAACTATTAGGGTCATTAAATTTTCGTAAAAGCGATAAGGAACTAAATATTAGTGAATCGTGGAGATTAAATTACATGACCTGTAGTTTCGCAGAAATGTGTACAAATATGTATGTACCTCGGAGCATAAGAAATGTTTTGATTTATAGATCTTTCTGAGACGCCTCTAGTCTGGAGCCTCTGATGTTTCCAAACACTGCATGGATTAATACATATAAAATATACATACACAAATAGTCAATAATATTTTAAAATAAAATATTAAGTGAAATTAAAATTTCAACTAAAATAAATAGTTGATTGTCGTATTCGAATAAGACAATGTGTGGAGCACATTGCTAGTAATTTCTCAAATATAAATTATAAAATTGTTATAACAGAGAAAAAAAATATTGGAAAGAATGTAATTGTAATCAAGAACGTCATTTATCTCTTTTTAGTCCGACTAATTCTATTAATTATGAGTATTTAATCAAGTGCTAATTAATGCACGCGCATGCCTTCGCGCAATTCCTTTTGTCTTTTGCGATTGCCGGGCTTGATTCCACGGGCCGGATGGAAAAGCATCTAACCCGCGGAGTTAAAAAGGGTCCGCCGTCGATCGGCGCGGCTCAACGCCGCGAGCACGATGTGGGTGTGACCTGGTTTGCGAGAGTTTCACTTTCCTGTAACATCGTTGCACGGAGGAGGTAAGGAGGATTCGACCCCAGAGTTACGTCATGCATTGTTATGCCGGCCGTAACGGCTCGTAGTCGTACGTGTGGAACTCTGCGGGAATGAAAATCAGCGAGAGAGGCAAGAGAGACCGCTTCGTATCCCGCGCGAACCGATCGTCGCCGATCGATAGACTCCGACGATCTTCGATACGTTTATATTACCATGTAAATCATACATTCCGATCGGTATTGTTCGGACGACGACCGTGACTGCAAATGTATGTGAGAAATCCCAGAAGATTTTAAAATCTCCGAAGTCTAACACCTAGATATGAAAATCTAGATTTTAAATCATATTTGGATTTTTGGTAATTTTATTATGTACTTCTATTGTAATCGTAATTTTAATTAAAATTTATTATGTATCGTATATTTATTGTTGTTATACATTGTATATTTATTATTGTAAATTTATACATTGTAATTCACAAAAAAAATTGTGTAAAATTATCATGACTACACAATAAGAATACACAATAAGAATTGAGAGATACACGAAATTATGTGTATATATTTACTTGAATTCGTATAAATTTGCTTACTCTCTAAATTTTCTGGCAATTTACTGCCACTCGAATGACCGAGTGGCAGTATTTTCACTCATTTGGAGTGAGATTCACTCCAAAAGAGTGAAAATTCACTCCAAAAAAGTGAAAGTCACTCCAGAAAATTTAGAGAGTATATATTCATTTCCCCATACTTCATTCAAATATGATACGAATCTTCTTTGTCGTTTCTCTTTCTTCAGGATAAATTTTTTTAATATGCATTTCCACGATAATTCAGTACTCTCTAAATTTTCTGAAGTGAATTTCACTTCAAAAGATTGAAAATACTGCCTTGAAAATACTCGGTCACTTGAGAGACTCTAAAAGAGTAAAAAATCACTCCAGAAAATTTAGAGAGTACTGTTATTCTAATTTGACGGGCATGATAAAACAATCAAGTCGAACTCGGGACGCGTAATGCGTGTGCTTCTACGTGAGTATCGGCGCGTGGGTACGCGCATATCCTCGCCACGATCTTCGAGTGTCGGACTGGCAAGTATATAAAAGAGCGTTCTAGCGTGCGACCTATATTCCACGCCTGCATCGCTATATTAGACGCGTACGACGCATCAGGGACGCGCCTGAAAGCGTCTCTCTCTCTCTCTCTCTCTCTCTCTCTCTCTTTCTCTCTCTCTCTCTCTCTTCCTCTCCCCTCTCCTCCCTCTCTTTCTCTTTCTCTTGTTTTCTCTTTCCACCTGCTGCGAATCAAACCCAAATTCGAGGGGCAATAAAAATTCCTCCATCGACCGCTTTCAGGTTACGTTCTAATTCCTGTTAGGTTATAAACGATTATTATTTACGAAAATTTTTAAATAATTCAATACACAGGATATCTATAAATTTGATTTTGTTTTTCTCTAATAAACACGTGTAATATTTTTCAAGATCCCTAAATATTATAAAAGAAACAAGCGGAAGAGCTTTTTGTGGTAAACATGTCCAAAGTTTGCGTATTCGCATTCTAAAATAGTAAAAAAGAAGAAGAAAAATATTCAAAAAGAAACAAACATTAATAAAATATTCAAGAAACAAACATTAATAAAATATTCAAGAAAAAACAAACATTAATAAAATAAGTAAAATTCACGAGAGAAAAATAACAAAACAAGAGCAAATTGAAAGACACTCCGGTTTATGTAGATCAATGCAAATTTAAAAGTTCATTATTCTGACCTGATAATAATGTTTACTACTTTCCTATAAATTTTATTTAGACAATTTAAGGTCATTTTCCATCATTTAAAAAAATAAAATAACCAATTAAGAAGAATTATCAATAATTCAAGATAAAAATGCACGATATTCATACGATCTTCACGTATTCGACGTGACGATAACATCCGGACGAGAGTACGATGATTCGTCAAGAGCGCATATTTATAGTGAGTTATGCGTATCCATGAATAATGATGTATTCACTTCCCACGGGAAGAGAAATGAGGGTCGATCGGCACGCTGCACGAAATTCGAACGTGCAGCCGATTCACGTCCCACGGACGGGCACGCGCGTGACGGCGCGCGTGCACACGCACGATGTACGTTTTACGCGCGGGGAAGTCGAAGAATTTATTTTCGTCGCGGCCGCTTCCAAACGCATCACCCACTCGCTCACGGTGGACCGGCGGGCGCAGCCATTCTAAAGGCCACACATTCAATGTCTTTATACGGTCGTTTACTCTTCGGGACAACGGTAAAATGGTACGGGCGCTGCCTAAAAGTCAATGACGGCCACTTCCGCATTCGTATCTATATGCCCGCAATGCGTCACAATCTACATAGTATTGCGATGAGCATGTGTATGCGTGTCGCAAGACTAGATTGTGTCTGGGAGATAAAAATCGAAGTAATAAAGAAGCTAATTTTTTAAATTGCAAGATCGCGTTTTCGGCAGTTCCTTTCGAAACGAGATTATGTATGTGTGTGCGTTAAAATATTTGAGAAAAAAAATTGGAGAAAAGCTATTTATATAAATTATAACGCAAACAAATTATCGTGTATTTTATATTTTTGCGCAGATATTTATTATATAAACTGTACCTTTCCGTTGAATTTCCACACAATTTTGAATTTGAATGATTTACTAAAGTTCTTATAAGTTGAATTACATGGATATATCTATTTCATTTATATTACAGCGCTTGTTTTTATAGATTTTGAGATCATATTATTTATAGTTTTGAGCGGATCTGCGTATATTAAACAGGTGTGCCGAGACATGAGAAAATCAGGATCCCTAATTAAACTTAATTAAGCAGGCTGCTACTTAATTATGGCTAGCTGCTGCGCAATCTGGATAATCAGTACGAGAACATTCCAAAGATACGCAAATCGCTGTAGCAGCATAAAAAGGTTAACGAGAGTGTTCTCATGAGTGGATTATGCCATGCAGTGCCTAGTTAACGCCGCATAAATCTCGCGTCGCTTGTATAGCTCTCTGAATTGATGAGGTACGATCGCGTTCGGCGTGTCATCACTGTAAAACTTCGATCCGCCACGCGTGGGAACGCGTCAGTGTAAAACAGGAAGTGAAAAAGGAGTCATTGCGAAAATACAACAAATTTATAATTATGCGCGTTTCAGTGTACATGTATTTTTGATCAAACTAATAATGACTCGTCCTTAGCTTGATTAGAATCCAAAAGAAAATATGATTTTTTTGTCGGGAACTTAAAAAGTGTTTATCTTAGTCTCCACTTTTTTACTTTAAAACAAGCACTTTTTTACTTTAAACTCATAGAACTCTCATTTTCAAACTATTAATATATTTTACGAAAGAAAAGAATGTCTGTTTATCAATATCTCAAAAACCACCTCGAAAATATGTATATCTTTATGAGTCGTAAAGATATGCATAAGTAATATATAAGCACGCATTTTTGAAAAGTGTCATACATATCGAGCGATCGGTTCGATCGGCGGGGCGACTCGAACTCGCCCTGACGAGACAGAGATATTAATAACCAAGCTAAGAAAGAAACGCGACGATTTCATACACCATATGGCCAACCTAAATTCTAAGAGTCGGGCGTAACTAACATAAGCGAGATAACCTACATAAAGCGGAGATATTAGTCGCGATTGTACTAATGATGACACTCGCGTTCTCAGCTTTGCTAGTATTCAGAGTTTTTATCATGTGTAGATTTTTTTTCAGGAACCTAGAAAAAAATGTTTATCTTCACTTTTACTTTCGCATTCATATTAAAATACTACTACTTACATGAAGATATACATGCAGAATAGGAAAGTTATATAATGAACAATTCAGATTCAACATTTCGATTGTCGATTATAACTACCATGAAAAGTCGATCGCGAATGCAATTTCTTGAAAGGTATATGATATCCAATTGGAATATTGAAATAATGACATTGTCCGTGCTATAAAAATAAAAAGCTAAAATTTAAATAGACAAAAATGTTTTTCCTCGAAAATATAAATATTTCTTTTTTTACTTACTTCTTCATATAAATGATTACGTTTTTAAGAGAGATAGCAGATAACATTCGTTTTCTAAGAAATATTCGCACGTGAAGTTGAGTTACAACAATTGCCCGAATAGGTCTTATAAATACCGTTCCACAAAACATTAAATCATTGCTCTGACAGCGCAGAGTAACAAAGGAATATTCCATCGATATTGAGGAACATAGTAAGGCTTCGGGTTAGAAAAATATAGAGAGAAAGGTATATACTTTATGTAACTCTATTAACAATCTTATAAGTCTTTTATAATAATATTGCTATACATTTATTGTTAGTCCAACATTGCCGACTTTTATTAAATTATTAAATTTCTGGATGTAAAACTTACGAATACCTACGAAAAATGTACTGCGACATGCAGCCATAATCTCAAGTGCACATTATTTAATGTTATTATTTAAAATTAACTGTTGTAAAGTGCCCATTTTATAGATATACTATTTTTCACAAATATTTCGGAAATAATTTAGAAAATATCACACATTTATATTATTGTAAGAGGTTAATTTATATAATTTTGTTGGAAAGAAAAATTATAAATATGCATATTTTATTCGCGACAAAAATAACTGTTATATTTAATTATAAGCTTGCATGATTTAACTTGACTCGGACTTGGCAATGGACGACGACTTACTTTCATTAATAACTAGCAAGATGCGCAGCGCGTTCAACTGAATATTGAAAATAGAAAAAAAAATAAAAACAGAAAAGTGATGTCTCTAAAGAATTAAGTTTCCCTTTATTATATTTCAAAACGGAAAAAATTAAATTCAAATACATACTTAAAAATCAGAAATAATTAATTTTTAAGTATTTGAATTTAATTTTTTTTTTATGTTTAATTTATCCAATAAATAAATAAAACAAAGTTTGTTTGATTTATTTATTGTATAAATTAAGCATTAAACGCAATGTTGTTCTTGTTAGACGTATAATTGGACTTGTTGACATCTAGCATCAATGTGCAAATAGATTGAATTCTTCTCTGTCATATCTTGTATTGTGTATACTCGTATTTTTCATGATATACATAATGTTTTACCATTTTGTGTCTTTCCAATGTCTTATTTCTTCACTCTGTATACGTATTTTACGAAAACTTTACATATGACTTTAATTCATACTGTATGCATACAAATATATTTATATCGTACATATTTCAAGTTAAGCTGATATATATTACATGGTAAGTATGTACTTTTTCTATTTCGGAGCACTTATGTACATTTATTTATGACATTAAGACAAAATTACTGCTTTTGTCTAGCAAAATCGTTTTGGCCCACTGTGCGCTGGCATTCCGCGCGAACGAGACGAACCGCTTCGTTCCGCGAATCGAGCGGGCGCGCATTTTTTTCGATCCGATCGAGAAATCCAAAAGTACACCGCGCGCTCCTCCTCAATGCGGCTGACGGCGGTGCGCAGTCGGCGTCCTCTCCCAGTTGGACGGCCGCGGTCTCTTGACTCCTCTCATTAAATCACAAATGAATGACATTAGCGGTGCTATAATATCGTACCGCTATTACTGTGACGGGTATTACGTGTCACGAGGCGCGCGAGCGTTCTCTCTCCGTTTCATCTCTCTCTCTCTCTCTCTCTCTCTCTCTCTCTCTCTCTCTCTCTGTCTCTCCTTCCCCATCTGTCTCCCTCTCTATCTCTCCACCTCTCACTTCCTCCCTAGCCGCGCCACTCTCTCTTTCCATCTCCCTCCTCCTTCCCCACCTCCTTCTCCCCCTGCCTCTGGAAACGCTCTTACTGTTGCACGCAAGGAATCAGGTCACTGCGCTGCAAGAAAGCAAAAGCCGCGGCTACGCGAGAGAGCGCGGATTAGTATTATCGAATATATACCTATATCCTCCGGAAAGGGACGATGACTAAGGCGCCGTTTCGACAGAACTTTCGCGTATGTACACGCGATCGCGCGCGCCGTGCCGAGCCGAGCCGAGCCGGGCCGCGCCGCGACGGTGCAACGAGTACGCCGCATTCGTCACCTCGTGCGTGGAAACTTTTATCGGCCGCCGCGCACCATGCGTGAAATACGGGCTCGTGATTACTTACCTATTTTCATTTTCCTTTCATCAGCCGAGCGCTTAGTTTGTTTTGGAGAGATATACGAACATTCGCGAGAAAGACTTAAGACTGGCTCGCGGCGGAAGCGAGGCTATTTACTCGCCATTAGTCAACTTAACTTGCATGCCATTTATCATTGTTTTCTTAAAGCTTCCTGACGGCTTGATTGACGTTGTCTAATTTTGACGCAACTACTGCGCTATTCTACAAAAATATCGACAAAATTTTCCATATTTCCGTCAGCTGTATAAAAACGTTTGATGGTGGATTAAATCAGGTAACAGGCCGAAAATCGCGCGATCAGCTGATGGCACTCCGCGTATATATATAGGAAGCGAGAGGGAAGGGTCGCTCGCGCGCGCGAGCGGGTCATGGTTCAATTATTGTATGACGCTGCTTGTATACGGTACCGCGTCTGCACGCGCTGCACGGTCATCCCAAATGCTAATGGCATTCCTCGAGAGCACCTTTCTCCTCGCACCGCACCGCGCGGCTTTTCTCACGCGTTTCGCAACGCGCTGCATCCATTTGTCATTCGAACGTCTCGACGATTACAACGATATCTTGTAACGTTGCAATTAGTGGCTATATTCGATTGCAAAATAATCTAAATATACGTCGGATGTTCCAGACACGCGGAAAAAGAATCTCCGTACATATAAAAAGAAGCGTCATTTTGCGTAGCTACTTTTGCAGAAGTTATGTACGACGCGCGTTCGTCGGACGGCGGCGTTCTAACTGGAAAAGTGAAAACGAACGTTCGGCTTTATTTATTGGTTTAAAACGCGCAAAGTTAAGAATATCGTTTTCGTGTAATTAATCCGTCCACTGTAACCAATAACTATATCTTGTGTAAATGGTGAACTTTTCCATCTTTTACGAGTACAGAGAATTAATTGCAAGCACCGATCGTCTCATGATCATAATATGGGCATATGCCGAACAAATTTCTTGTATACATATACACGTATGTACATCTGATATTCCACGCGAGCAGGTAAAAATAAGGATAATATTTAAATGTCTATACTAACATTTCTCGCTGCGAATGAAAACAAGTAACGAGTTTTTAGGCGTGACCACGAGACTGCGTCGAACCACCGCGCATTCGCGCGTCGATCATATCGAATTTTTTTTTGTCGATCGGAAAATGCGACCCTTTGGCCTTTTATAAGACTTTCACCGCTTGGCCACCTTATCTCGAGCTAACACGTTCTTTTATAAAAGTAATCATTATCTCGCGTGTATCTTGCGCGCACACGCATGTACGCACGCACGCGCACGAATCGCGTTATAAATTACAGGTGACTGTGCGAAGAAGAACCGACGTATTTTCGCTGCGGGGATACTGCGAAATCATTGATGAGATGGGGTCAGTAAAAGTGGGGCCGCTAAGACACGGGTCGCGGTTCAATGTCGTTTAGTTATACGCGTCGTAAATGCATAATTTGCGACGATACCGATCGTGCGTAACACGCTTCGCTACGAGAGACGGTGAGAGGAAAAAAAGAAAAAGAGAGAGAGAGAGGGAGATTGCACTTCATTATTCTCTGACTATCTTGTTCTACAGATCACAGCATTAACCGTTCGCACGGAAAGAGGCGTACATCGAATTTTGTCGGTCTTCTTGAAACATAGCTATCGCATTACAGCGAAAGAGAGAAAAATTCTAAAAAATTTGTTCGTAAAAGAAGGAGAATTACCTCACCACTCGCGATAATTTGTGTATCCTCAGTAGCCGTGTACGCATTGAGAGAAAGCAGAATCTATAATTTTATGGAAATTGAAATTCGAATGATATAAAAACGCGGCACACCGTGAAATATAACGTGTTGAAAGAGCGCGATTAATTCGATTAAAAAGAAGAAAGAAACGTCCATATAGGTTCGGGGAAATTAATCGACTTATTGCGTAACTGTCATGAATTAATCACGATTAAATTGAATACACAAATTCCGGGCGCGTATCGGAGAAAAGCTAAAATCGCCGCGAAATGTAAAATGAGAATTAGAAGTATCCAGCACTATATGCAAATGTTGATGCGAAGCGATGCCGGATGTGTGCATGAATATATGCGGGCTTCACTACCGACGCGCGAACACTTTAATTAATTAGAGAATTAAAGCAATTGTACCGCAACGGCCTGCCGCGTTCCTACTTTCGCAAAGTCACGACTCGCGTAATCGGCTGCCTGTCGCTGACGCTGTTTCAATTAAGTGCTCTCTGTGCCGCACATTTCGTGAATTATTCGTGTTTCTCATCCTTTCACCTTTCCCTCCGCTCGCGTTACAAGATTTTACATTTCGAAAAAAAAAAGGAGCGTGGAGTTCGTCGCGCGAGGACGCGTGCGATTTTTTTTCTCTTCTCGCAGGTTTCTTTAGACACAAGCGATGAAAAAACATTCGAAGACTTATACCTCTATATTTACACGTCAGCCTGTGACTTAAAGGTGTTCGAACGAATATTTTGTGCGCGTAATACATATTTACCTTTCTGCACTTCTAAATCACGAAATAAAAATGTACAAACAGAACAGGAAATCGAAGAGGAGAATTTTATACTTTTTACATACAGGCCGGTCGTACGTTGCCATTTGCACCGCATGGCACTTTACCTAATGACAAGGAGCAAGTCGCATTCACTGCGCCGCAATGAAAATAAATACCGAGAGTACGATTGCATATACGGTAACTAGCGCTTTTCGTGAATTCAATTCTGAGGTTTATAATCGAACCGATCGCATTATTTTAAATTATCGTTACGAACTTTTTGCGCGTGATAACGCGCAGTTGCAATTTTCCTCTTTTTATATATTCGCAACTGGCAACGTTTATACGTGATTTTAAACGAGAAATATTAGTAGAAAAAAAATCGCTTTGTATTCTTCTTTAGCAATTCAATTTGATTATAAATCAAAAAAAGTTTAATCTCGTCGAGTCGACAGTTTTCTATTCAAGAGCGACAGTCGAATATTCTTTCATGGTTCATCGAACTGTCGATCAACGAATTGACAAGGTTATCATCTTTTTTCAAGCCATTCTAAAAAGAAACA